AAGGGTGAATTTGCTCTCTCTGGTTGAGCTGGAACATCCCCTCAGGCTGGGACTTATACCACTGGCTTTTCTGTGTCTGCCGCTTGCAGACAGTGAATCAAGGATGTCTCAGCCTCCATAATCATGTGAGCCAATTCCTCATAATAAACCTCTCTCTCTCTCTCTAGCTTATTTACATATATATGTACAGGGTGGGGCAAAGTAGGTTGATAGTTGTTCCTATGGAAAATAATACAATAACTGATAAAGAATAATATAAGAATAAACCGTGTTTCGCGTACTTACTGTCAACCTACTTTTTCCCAGCCCTGCATACACACATATGTATACATATATATGTATGTATGTATACCAGCATAGGTGAGAATCTTTATTTTAAAAAAAATAAGAGCGGTACTTTAAAAGGTGGGTAAAAAAATGAATGTTTACAAATTAGGTAGAAATAATACAAAAGAGGGTTAAAATTCTCAGAGGGAAAGCAAAACATCCAATTGTATAAAGCCTCTTCCCTTGCAAGAAATGTGCATAAGGATGAAGATCCAGTTTGGTTTCTCAGCTGAAAATGTACAAAATAACTTAGAAATAACTTGAGGTCAAAGGCTGCAAGCCCAGTATTTGTACCTGCCTGCTTTTGATCTAAGGAAAGTTGATGATCACAGTGCCAGGCAGAGCGGATGGTAGAAGAGCCAAGAGTTCTCTGTCTTCCATTCACCTTCAAGTACAAGCCAAAGAAGACAAGCCTTCAGTGAAGTCTGGCTTCTGCAGTTGCCTGACTGAATTTCCTCCATTGTGGTGCTCAAAAAGCTTTACTTCTTCGCCAGCAAAACATGGAAGAGCCTGGAACAACCCTTAGCAAATGCTTGCTTCCTCTTCCCAGCTTTTGGGGGTTGGGCCTGACATCAACCTGCAGCTTATCTATGTGTCTCTCATGGGTTCTGTTTTTCTGGGGAACTCTGACTATACACACCCCTAAGTTTTCCTAGACAGAAGAGCAGGTACTTTCCTCTTGCTTCCTGGACTCACTTTTCTGTAGCTATGGTCTGTGTGAAAACCCACAAAGCATATCCCTGCCACCATGTGAATAGACATGCAGGAGGTGGGGTAAGGTGATGAGACGCGAAACCTACGGTGAGAGGAACTGGGATCTCTCTTGTGCTGCTCAGTCACTAAGTCAGGGCTCAGTCCACACACATTCTGAGGAGGGAGTTTTATTTAGCCATCCATTGACTGTCTACAGGGCTCCTTTTTGTGTCACTTGGTGAGCTTGGGGGAATACTAAGAAAAATAAAGGTTATCCTGGCTGTCTCTGCCCCTAGGAGCTCACAGTCAGGTTAGAAGGAGCCATGAAAAGAATGAAAACCCCGGGAATGTTTGCCACCGTGCTGTGTGATTTAGTCTTTTCTCTTCATCTTCTCCATCACACAGGACACATGGGTTTCAGTCTGATTGAAGCCGTCTCCCCGACAGCCCCGATCCCAGAGAGAGTGAATTCAAGTACATGAAATGCTCTGCTTTTTTCACCTTCAAATTTTCATTGTATATTTGTTATTTGTTCATTGACATATTGACATGTTTTTATGTAATTCACGTTTAGGATAACATTAACATATTTAACTGAGTAGATACAAATAAAACAACTGAAGATAATTCTGATTTAATTAAAATACCCGATTGCCTTTCTAAAAACCAATACTCCATTTGCCAAGCTTTCCCCGCTTATTAATTTCTATCATGTGTGTGTGAAAGTGGCTCTAAATACTCTTTTTTTTAATATACATATATTTTTATTGATTTCAGAGAGGAAGGGAGAGAGAGAGAGAGAGAGAGAGAGAGAAACATCAATGATGAGAGAGAATCATTCATCAGCTGCCTCCTGCACTCCCCACACTGGGGAACGAGCCCGCACCCCGGGCATGTGCCCTTGACTGGAATTGAACCCGGGCCCCTTTAGACTGCAGGCCGATGCTCTATCCACTGAGCCAAACTGGCTAGGGCTCTAAATACTCTTTATACGTATAAAATTCAGTAAGTTACTGAACAATAATTAAATCAGACATTTGAAGGGAGGACAAGCAAGCAGGTAGAATGATGGCCGCAGTAACTTGAGGAAGAGAATGTCTCCATTCAGGTGGAACATGGAGCTGAATGCCCTTCCTTCCTGGAGACCATGTATCTAGTAGAAAACTTTGGGGAGCGGGAGTCCCTCTGGTCCAGGAAGAGATTTCTCATGGCCTCCATCGGCAGCCTTGAGGTTTTGCTGACCAAAGCAGATAAAAGCAGCACTGCAACTCCTTAGGAAACACCCAGAACCAGCCCGTTTGCAGTCTTTCCTCCTTCTCCTGCTCCCCTACCTGGACTGACCTTCTACAGGGCTACCTTTCTGTGTCACTTGGTGAGCTTTGGGGCGTTGCCCACAGACCCCAGCGAAGACGCCTCACCTCCTTCCAGGGCCTGGTGAAAGCCATTACCAGACTAGAATCTTGAAAGTTCCTGGAAGAGGCCCTGTTTAAATGGTAAGAGGAGGAGTTTCCAGAGAAACCTCCGAGGCAGCTTGTACAGGGACTGATGCTGTGAAGGGACAGGCAGAACTCACGGCCAGTTGTTTGGTCAGAACAGGCACAACCCGAGGAGCCCATCTCTTCCAAAAGTGAGCCAAGGAACTGTCCATAGCAGGGCTGCTCACACTTTCCCATGCACATGGACCACACCACACCACCCGAGGACCTGGCTGGAACGCACTGCTGAGCTCAGCAGGTCCGGGATGCTGCCTTTATAACCTCCTCTCAGCGGGGGCTGGATCCAGACCCCACGGTGAGTCGCAAGGGCCTATCCACTTTTTGGAAGTGATTTCCAATCACCAGTTTCTCATCCCTAAAAGCCCTTTAACAGGCAAGCCTTGCTTTATAAGAACATCCTTCCCACACCCCCACTGGCCACCCACTTTGGGCTTCCTCCACTCCCATTTACACTCTTACTCGGCAGGGAGCATTGAGTGTGTCTAGACTCTAGGAAGTACCTGTGGTCCTCTTTAAATATGTATTCTGTCCCCCCTTCCCTCTCCCCAGGCTTTAAGTCTGATTAGGACTTCAGAATGCAGGGCCCCGTAATTTGCATTCTAACAGGGCACTCTGCTTTATTATACCTGCCAGCTGCAACACAGCATGAAACAACACTCTCTCCCTGCTCACAGGGGAGGTCTGGCAGGTCGCTAAGAAGACACATTCCTCAATTCTGAAAGAGCCAATGGTAAGGTAGAAGCGACCTCATTCTAGATTGCAGTTTTGCAGCGCTGAATTAGTCATTAGCACATTTGCTGAGAAGCAAGCATACTTTAAAAATCACCACCACCACCACCTCAGAGCTCACAAACCGCTGGTTTAGTCTGACAAAATCTAAGACACAAAAGAGGGACCAGGACCTGCGCTGTCACCTCCCCATTGCCCAGATTTTGCCTGGAAGGAGCGGAGCAGGTTAGCCCTCGGGCTCTCTCCAGAAACTCCAGTCCTTGCCCTGCTGCAGCCGCCAGCGCTCCTGCGAGCACCCCCCTCCGTGTCCTTAGGCTGCCGGACTCAGTAAACAGACAGAGCGACAGAAATAAAAACGCAGGAATTGGTCAGAGAGGTTCATGACCACGTTCAGAGCAACGCATCTGTGATCTATAAGCACACACCGAATCAGGAGGATTCTGGGAGTTGCCCACCAGAAAAAGATTTGTAAGAAATGCTCTCCACTTGCCAGCAGAGAAGGCAGCCATCCTTACCTCATGACGGCGGTGTCCCTGGGATTCTGAGAAGCTGGGGTCCAGGCTGATGTTCTGTTCTGCTGGTGGATCGCAAGCGAGTGCCGATGAGGTTTCCAAGCCCTGGCGCTGGCCCTTCGGTCTGTGCTTTTATGGAGAAGAAATGGAAACTGAAACTGATGCGATGCCGTCAGGATTCCTGGTGAGGAGAAACGAAACTAAGGTATGAGAGCTCAGCTCACTCTCGCCCGGGAGTATTGTTCTACTCAGGTTCTGAAACTGTGTTTGAGAGACTGGAAAAGGCACTAGAGATGGCTTGCAGTTTCCATGCCCTACTCCTAGAGACCTGATCCAACCGGGGGTGGGCTGGGGCTCGGGGTCGAGAATCTGCATTTTTACACTCCCTGGATTTACTGTTGCAGGAGTGAAACCCAGGGTCCTTATGACTTTGATTAAATTTAACTTTAAATCCTAATTATAGAAATTATTTCTCTCTTTATAGATACACCCTCAGAAATGAGCCTTTCCCCCAGATAATCCCCCCCACGTAGCAGAAGACAGGAGCCCAAATCTGACTAATGATCACAGTGTGGGGACCTCTGGTATCTTGACCTTAGTTATGTTTCAGCTCCTGAGCCTTAAGATGGAATGGCCCTCTGGCTCCTTTCCCAGGAGACCAGACCGAGGGATGCCAGCAAGAATCTCAGAGCAAGACCTGAAGAAATGACTCACTGCCCTGACTTCACCTCCGACCAAGGAGCTCTCATCATGAGCCCCCTAATCCGTAGTGTCTTGTGATTTTGCCCTGTATAATCTGTAACCTACACACCATCAGGGTGTTAGGGCTTTTGCTCAAAAGCTTCCTGTTCTCCTAGGTGGCACCATTCATCATAAAATAGCCAGTATTTCTCCCCTGCAGTTCTGGGTGCCTAGTGTTTGGCTCTGCGTGCGCTGTGCTGTTGGACTCTTTGTGTTCTATTGCAGGAGTCCCTGTACCACAAATGGAGAAACACTACCCTAGAGGTGTTTGGAAAAGCAGTTTCCTATGTTCTTGCAAGAGATAATGTAGTGAATCAGAAGATCTAGAATAGAGGGAAATAAACACAGGACACCTGGATTTAGGGTAGCTCTTTGATCAGCTCTGGGATATTTCTTGAATCACATCATTGAGCCTCATTTCTTTACTTTTAAAATGGCCTAGAATGAACTGACTTTTTCCTTCCATCCAAATTATAGAAAACTGTGCCATGGGGAGATCCATTCTTACCTTCATCTAAGGCAGTGGTTCTTAACCTTGGCTGCACATTAGAATCACCTGGGAATCTTTTTAAAATCCTGATTTCTGGGCCTCATCCTCCGGAAATTCTGTTTCTTTGTTATGGGGTGGGGCCACAACATTAGTAACAAAGAAATAGAATTTCAGGAGGATGAGGCCCAGAAATCAGGATTTTAAAAAAGATTCCCAGGTGAATCTAATGTGCAACCAAGGTTGAGAACCACTGATCTAAGGTGTGGCCCTAAGGAGTGAGTCACCATCAAAGAGTGGTTCTCACCCTCCAAATAAAAACCCCGAGGGCCTAGTCCTCCCAGTCCCTGCCCCTTCTCTCCAATGTGAGCTTAACTGGAAGGATTGAGACATTTCACCCTTTGGCCTTTGTGCCCAGAGCTGGGACATGCTTTGGCACCTGGGTAATGACCTTACTGTATGTAAACACTTGGGTGAGTAATTTGCCCTCTGAACCCCGTCTTATTCACCTAGAAAATGAGGCTAGTAAAAAAATAACAGTTCTTCCTGCCTAGAGCTATGGGAAAGATGATAGAAGATAATGTATATAAAGCACTTAACAGGACACTACCTACTACTGATCGCGTAGAAACTGGTACAACTGTGATTACTGATAAATTAGTGCTACAATTTTAAGTGGATTTTGAGGGGGTGAAGGGAACCACTGAGTTTCTCAGTGCATGGGACAGAGGAGGGCACCCATGAACCGGCTAACAGGTGCTGGGCGTTTCCCCATGTGGCTCTCCCTTTGACAATGTTTAGCACTGCTAGGGAGGAGCACCTAACTCCGGTGGCCCACACAGCCTCTGGGAACAGGAAGCGCTGGTGTGGGCTTTAGTCCAGCATACCCCAGCATGCCCCTCTCAGACGCCCTCAGGTCAGTGCTCTGGACACCCCCAAGCACAGGTCGCTGCAAAACCTCTTGGACAGACCGAGGTTCTGGGCAGCGGCAGATTTTCTGGTCAAACTTATCCATGCAGGTACAATTGATATTATTCATGTCCAGGAGCCCATTCTACAGGAAAAGGCGACCTGAGGCACTTGGCAGTGAGTTCCTCTTACTCCTCTCCTCTGCAGGGGATTTGGGAGCCCTTGGGTCTTCCTTTCCTCACTGCCTGAGTGGTCACTTGGATCCTTCCTCCCCAGGCAATCAATCCCTCCCACAGCTGTCTGATGGGAAAGGCTTCTTTTTCTCTGTCCTCTCTCTTCTGAGGTTCTGTGTGATGGCAGAGCTCCAACTGGTCTGTATGCACTTTTTGAAATCGTGTGCTAAGGTTATAGTTTACCTACCATAAAATGCACCCATTTTAAGTGTACAGTCCGATGTGTTTTGCCAAATGTATATGCCCAAGTAACCACCAGGAGTAACTCCTTGTAGACTACCTGCATGATCTTCAGTTTCCCGTGTGCCTTCCTAGTGGATTCCAGCCCCACCCGCCTCCATGCTCCGGCAACCATGTCTCTGCTTTCTACCACTAGAAATTAGATCAGTATTAGACAAGAGATTAGGCCATTATGTTTTGAAGAGAAATGATTTCCAGCTCTCATCACAGCAATAAAAATCAACTCTAAGCCTTTGGTTTGTTTTTCATATAAGAAATGGAAAAAATAAATGCCCACCTTGAAGTGATCAAACTTTCAGGGCTCAATTCCTCTCAACGTGAGTTGGGTTTGGACTTCCAATTCCATCTTGAATAATGTCTGCTGAAAAGAAAATGACAAGAAGGCCTTCGGTCCTTCAAAGGAGAACAACAACAAAACCCCATAAAGAGGGATTCCTTAGTTCTGCCACTGAATCAGCAAGCTTTGTGCCTGAGTGGATCTAACCATTCCTGCCCAACCTCCCTCACCCAGCTCCCAGCTCCACCAGGTGTTCCAGGGAACAGTTCTAGAAGTTTAGAGAGCTGAGCTCCTACTCCAGAAAAAGCCCCGGAAATGAAAAGTGCCATGCTGATGAAGGCACGTTTAGTTCCGAAGTAACAGGACAACTCAGAATCTTGTCTGAACCTGAGAAACGCTGTTTTGCATTCAAGATCAAAGGTATCTATGCATTGTTATCTCACTGACCTCATGACTGCAAACTGCTTCTCAGCACGTCTCAAAAGGTGGGGCCAAGCTGATTGGCTCTTGGAAAATCTTGTCTGTGGCCAGTAAATGCTGAAGGAGCTATTTAAAGGGGAAGTGGGGGGTAGGGGTGGGCTTGCTCCCCGTTTCTAAGGAATTGCCTTTAGGAGAGGGAAGAGGAACTGGAAAGTGCAAGTGATTTCACATCAGGAGGGGGAAAATACAACAAGTTTGATGAGTTCTGCTATGACTCAAAGTACATTGTTTAAATGCCACTCATATTCCCTGGGGTGGGTCCTAGGAATAGTCTGTAGGAGATTCAGACTCCAGGGGTTTCTGGGACCACAAGATGCGAAAAACTGTTCCAGAAATATTTTCTAAAAAGTAGTTTCGTCCACTTTATCTGTGGGAGACAATTTGTACTTGGAGACCTGGATTTAGTTCTGTTTGTTCAGTTTACTAGCCCTTGGGTTAGCCCTGAATCACATCACCACACCCTAATCTTCTGTTTTGCCCCAGACTACATACAGAAAGCCAAACCCTGGAGATAATCTCGGGCAGTTTAAATCTCTGAGTAGTCTAAGATAATAGTTCGGCCTTCCCAGCTGTGAAATAGGAAGTAGTAACACATAATATTGTGTCTGGCTAGTTAGCTGATAAATTTACATGCCTGTATTTATTCCTTGAACTCTGAAGGAGGAATACTACCTTAAGACACATCTATTATTTATTTATTTACTTTTTTAAAATATATTTTATTGATTTTTTTTATAGAGAGGAAGGGAGAGAGAGTTAGAAACATCGATGAGAGAGAAACATGGATCAGCTGCCCCCTGCACATCTCCCACTGGGGATGTGCCCGCAACTAAGGTACATGCCCTTGAACGGAATCGACCCTGGGACCCCTGAGTCCACAGGCCGACGCACTATCCACTGAGCCAAACCAGCCAGGGCTATTTTCTATTTTTATAAAACTTCTGAAGAGGTTTAGAATGAACCTCCCCAAAATGTGCCACTTTGGCGTGTGGACTGTTTTAAGCTGAGGACAACTAAGCCAGCAAACTCAAGAAAACCTTTGACCTCTCCCTTAACTCCCTAAAAGAATTTAGATTGGAACAAGACAGTGCAAGCAATCCCTGAGCTTAAAAATAGAAGGCGACTGAAGAAAAGATTGCTTTCCTTATACAGTACACATTTGTCATGAGTACTCATTTTTAAGTTTGATTAAAATGTAATCCACGTACCATGCAACGCACCCATTTAAAGTATAGAATTCAGTAGTTTTAGCATCACAGAGCTGTGCAACCATCATCACAATACATTTTTAAGTTTTATTATTTTTAATTTCTTATTGATTTGAGAGAGAGAGAAATGGAGGAAACAGAGAGAGAAACATTGATTTGCTGTTTCACTTATACATTCATTGGTTGAATTTTTATTGACCTGACCTGGGATTGAATGAGAAACTTTGGCGCATGGAGACAACATTCAAACCAACTGGGCTACCCTGCCAGGGCACAGTCAATTTTAGAATATTCTCATTAACCCCAAAGAAGCTCCACACCCCATTTGTTGTTACCTCCACTCCTATTATCCCTCCCAGTCCTCCAGCAACCACTAATCTACTTTCTGGCTCTCTATTTGCTTACTCTGGACATTTCATATAAAAATATTCATACAGCCCTAGCCCGTTTGACTCAGTGGATAGAGTGTCAGCCTGTGGCCTCAAAGGGCACATGCCTGGGTTCCGGGCTCGATTCCCAGTAGGGGACATGCAGGAGGCAGCCAATCAATGAGTTTCTTTCATTATTGATGTTTCTATCTCTCTCTCCCTTCCTCTCTGAAATCAATAAAAACATATTTTTTAAAAAAAGAATCATACAGCCCTAGCTGGTTTAGCTCAGTGAATAGAGGACCTGTGGACCAAAGGGGTCCCCGCTCCCCCTCTGGTTTGATTCCAGTCAAGGGCATGTACCTTGATTGCAGGCTCCTCCCTGGCCCGAGTCCTGGTCAGGGCCCATGCAGGAGGCAACCAATCGATGTGTTTCTCTCACATCGATGTTTCTCTCTGCCTTTCCCTCTCTCTTCCACTCTCTCTAAAAATCAATGGAAAAATATCCTTGGGTGAGGATTAAAAATAAATAAATAAATAAAATAAAAATAAAAAGAATCATACAGTGTGTGACCATTTGTGACTGGCTTCTTTCACTTAACATAATGTTTTCAAGGTCCATCTATGTTGTAGCATGTATCAGTAAGTATTTAATTTATTTTTATTGCCAAATATTCCCTTGTAAGGATATACCTTTTTAATCTATCAGTTCCTTAGTTGATGGATCTACTTCTTGGCTATTATGAATAATGCTACTATGAGCATTCAGGTACAGGTTTATGTGAATATATGTTTTCATTTCTCTTGGGTACATACGTAGGGATGGAATTGCTAGGTTGTATGGTGATGCATTGTTTAACAGTTTGAGGAAGTGCCAAACAGTTTTCCAAAGTTGCTGCACCATTTTACATTAAGGATTTCAGTCATTAGTGATCCACCCCCTTGCAGCCTCCCAAT